CACCATGCGGTCCCAGGCGTTCTCCCAGCTGTCCAGCGCCGGCCGCACGTCCAGCAGCGCGAACTTATAGCTGTCGGGGTCGACGTCGCCGCCGTCGTAGTAGTCGATGACGTAGCGCACCTCCTTGCCGCAGCGGTCGATGATCCAGTCGTGCCGGTCGAATGGCAGCTCGTACCTGCCCGCCGGCCGGGGGAGCGTTAGGGCCGACCGGCGCCGTACAGGCAGTACGAACGTCGGGAAAAACAGTGAGGCTCGCTCAGCAGTCCTCAAACCAAGCCAGTTCACTCCGGTATCACCGCTGGGATAATGCATGACTTCCATCGAGGAGTTCACAGGCCATTTCCGTGTTCGGACAAAAAACGGCGCTGATCCGTGTCTTTACAAAGCGCGCCCTCGCAAAACCGTCCAGCATTGGTACGAACAGGACATCGGGAAAAAGTTGCTTGCATATCGCTGGTAGAAAGCGCGCAAGTTGCAAGTTGTGCAGCTGCTGAACCATCCGACTGCAAATGTTTTGGTCGCGCCGTTGTTATAGGGCCTTGGCCGCGCCCGGGAAATCACGTTAACCTTCGATAAAATGTGGCCGATCATGGATCTAGCCAGCTAGTTTGGCTAGGTGGCCTCGATATTTCCTACGCCACAGCTCGTGACTGTCTGGCTACGAGGTCGCGGGAAATGGCGAAGGACCGGCCTCACAGCGCCTGAGCCGGGCGCCAGGCGCTGGCGTCCCTCAACATTAAGAAGGCAGACGGACGCGGCGCACGCGTGAGTACCACAGTTTAATCGACAAAAAACAGGCGCAGCTGCGCGTTATCCGCCGCCCGTGAATCACCGGCCACGCAAAAAGGGAGTGACTACCGCACGCGCCAGCGTACCCGAGCCAGTTTCTGAACCTCGCGCGTGGCGAGTAGTCTGACGCCTTTCCGCCGAAGCGCTTCAGCTTCGGCTCGCCACACTCGTGCGCGTGCAGCGCCTCCCACTTGAGAATCTGGCGAAGGAGAGCGGGGTGTGAAGCCATCACGACCCTGTCCAGATTCGGGATGATGTCACGCAGGCGAGGCCACTATGAAAAGCCTTTATTGACCTCTCCCTTGCAGTGTCTCAAACCTCTTCCAACAAACTCTGCATCAGCAACCAATACTAACATCATAGACACAAGCAATAATGTAACAAGGCTGGCTTCACCAGGATCTCAACTTATGCAGTATTATGTAGTCGCGCCAGATGTGACAGATGTGAACGCGAAGACGCTGGCTTTTGACCAGAAGGTGTTGTGCAAAATCAAAGGAAAGCACTTCCCATTAAATATTGCAATACCTGCATGTTGGATACCATATTTCTGAAAGAAAAAATACACACACGCTCCGCGCTTCATACAACTGCCCGCGCTAAATGGCCCAACAGCTCAAAGTTAGGATGGTAGTCACCTCCTGCCAAGCCAGCTCATTATTGACGTTGTGGATCCTGATGATGTTGTCCATGTCCTTCTGGGAGAGATCATCCTGCTTCCAGCGCCAGCCTTTCCGCAGCATGGCGTTCCAGAACATCTGCAAGGAAAACCGAGGGAAACGCTACTTCACTGCAGTCCCCTGACGGGCCGGATGAGAACATAAGCTCAGCCTAAGCGTGAGAGAGACATTGCAATTCGGTGCCCCAAAAACGGTGTACTTCGAGCAAGGCAGCCCTATTTGGTGATGTCGCTACGCCATGACTATGACAATACAGCTACTATGATAGCTATACGATTCACGTCGAGCGCACATTCATAACAGAAACGTATGGAAAACAGTTGTTCACGCTACTTGGACAGCGCCAACCGTCGGCGAGCAGAACCGGACGGCCAGCACGCACGCCTCACGTTGCACCGTGCTGGTGCACGCAAGTCGCGCACGTCAATGAATCGGGACCCGCCCGTTGCCCCCCACCGCTCCGTCCAGGCTGGGTGCCGGCGTGGCAAAGAGTGGAGTGGTGACTACATCACAACTTACATGAGGCCTAATACTGGTGCAAATAAATGATCAGTTAAGTATCAGGTTTCATGGCAAAACTCTTACCTGGCCCAACCTGGCCAGAAGGCAGTGGTCCCCGGCCCGAAGAGGTGAAAGCAGTGACCTGTGGCGACGGGTTAGACCCAGTGACGTCTCCTCGGTGGCGCGCGGGATGTTCGACACCTGGCGCTCCGTCGACAGCGGGAACGGCTGATCTGCCGCCGGCACCTGGTTAGGTGGCGCCTCCTGTCGGGCACGCCGGGAACTACGTCAGCCCGCGAGCATGGTGCGCGGATGTAAAAACAAAACGCCAAAACGCCTTAACATATTTATAGTTAACATAAAGCCAAAACCATTTTGAAGCAGACCAGCGGTGCTGACTAGCCCACAAGCCAACTTCTACGTTATGTTGGTATCACATGTGAAGCAACAATGCAGGACTATTCTATTTTAGTCATAACCTTTTGCATGCTTTACAAAAAATAACGGGTGTCTTACTTCATCCCATTGAACAGTTACAACACATTGCTAGACATACGCCGAGGAGTGAATGTTTTAATGTCATGAACAAATCAGGATTACGTCGCCCGCAGAGCACCACAGCAAACGCAGTCGCTCGCTGAGAACAGCCACGGCCCAAGATCGGAGCCGCCCAGGCGATACGCAGCGGGACTGCCGCACCATGTTGGAGGGGTCGATCTGGAGGACGGCGCCGGCGCGGTCGGTGACGATGCCATGCTGGTGAGGCGGCAGCGCGCCACCGGCCGACATGGGGCACTCCGGTGGCAGCGGGCGCGCGCCGCCGGCCCCGGCCGACATCGGGCACTCGGCCGGCAGGTAGCGGTACGGCTGGGTCGCGCCGCCGCCCGGCTCCGCCGCCGTCGGGGCCAGAGGCGGCGCCTCGTCTGCCGGAAACAGACGCCGGTAACGAACTGCTCTATAAGAGGGGGGGCGGGAGGGGAGGGGGAGGGAGACGAGCGGACCAGATTTGAAAACAGTACCGCAAACCGGTGTTCATTTCCTCGCAATTCCATTCGAACGAATGACGAAACCGTGCTGTTCTGCGTGATGGCTACAGACGTTGCCCAACACCGAATGAGAAGAGTAGCTCGTTTCGACGTCCAGCTCTACTGCGGCCAACATGCCCAGGGCTACCGGCGGCCTGCCCGGCGCAGTCTGCTTCGGCGGTCTACCCCCGTGCAGTCTGCTTCGGCGGCTGCCCAGGGCAGGCACAGTCTGTCAGCGGCTCCGGCGCCCGGAGCAGCCTGCCTCGGCGGCCTGCCCAGCGCAGTCTGCCTCAGCGGCCTGCCCAGCGCTGCCCGGTGCAGCCTGCCCCATGTCGTCGCCTGACCTGAGCCGCCGGTCGCGGTCGCCGCCGGCTGGATCAGCTCACTGCGCAGCTCCGAGGCCGTCCGGATGGCGGCCGTCGAGGTAGCGTTGCCCATGACCGCGCGGCTGGAACAGACCACCACGTGAGAACGGCGCGGGCGTCGGAGCTCATCCACGGCTGTCGGCAGCGGCACAGCAAGTGTGCGCTACATACGTATGCGCGGTGGCCGCTGCTGCTGTGGACCCCCTGGCTGGTTTTGCATTATCGGCAGAGGGACAGAACAGAGAAAATGTCAGCAAGCACGAGCAATATTTTATTAACGCGCCTCCCAAGCCGCTGATCAACTGCGGAATGGTCAACAGGTCAGCGCAGCACGGCCATGTTGCCGTTGCCACCACTTTGGACGGTACAGATTGCACGTGCAGCTCATGACTACTTGACCTCGGCAACTCTCTACACATGCGACGGTGGTCTGCGTTCTTTTGAAATTTGCGAGCGCTTCGCGTGCTTCCTTTTATGACCCGGTAACAATACAAGAATGATGCGAGCCCAGCATATATTGGCAAGGAAGCTACAAGCTCTAGGACAAATATGTTCACTGGAAGATCCGATGCCCTCCCACCATCAGGTAATCAGCTCGTACTAGGTACCTTTTCCATAACGCCAATGGCACAATCGCATGCTTACTGGTTACGCTAGACAAATGCTTCGCCTACAGAAAACCACCTCCACACATTTGTTAAAGGCATATCTGTTAAACGTACATCTCGTTGCAGTACACAATGACATGAATCATATTAAACGCTGTCTTTCTGATCGATAAGCGGCATGAGTAGGTGTCAGAATATCAACCTGCCCAAAACAGAGGCTGTCCGCAACGCGCAACCCTTGTCTGCGATATGCAGCATCAATGTTCAGAACATGGCTGGAAATTGCTAAGTAACTGGAATTCATCCCCATTCACTTAATATCAAACCCTACGACCAGGCAAGCAATACATTACCTTTTTCATACAACATAGTATCATCCACCAGCTACCCGAGCTTCATTGCAACGGTGACTGTTATATCAAACAGAACCGCTTCGTTGCCCACGGCGCTATGTTTTGTCTGGCAATCTTGACCTGACCTGACCATCACCACCAACAAATCAGATACCTGCCGGTAAACACCCATCTAACATCACACCGTGCCGACCAATCACTGCCGTTTGCCCAGATCGGCCATCAGCTGGCTCCAGGCGCGCTCCACCTGGCGCTGCGTGTACTCTGGCTCCCAGAGCGTGCTCAGCACGACGGTGGCCGCCTCCACACGCCGCGCGTTGCTCATCTGCGCGTCCAGTCGGCGCTCGGCCTGCTCCCCGGTGACGCCATCACGCTGCACGGCGCGACGCACGGCCTCCTCGCGCGGCACCAGCGTCACCCAGACCTCGTCGCAGAGCTGCGCGTCCCAGCCGGCCTCGAGCAGCACGGCCGCGTCCAGCACGGCCACCTGGCCGGCCGGCAGCGCCGCCAGCCGGCGCTCAGCCAGCGCCGCAATCTCCGGCCACACGCAGTCGGTGAGCTGGCGCAGCGCGGGCCGGCTCGGCGAACACGCGCGCGCCCAGCCGGCGCCGGTCGATGCGGCCGTCCTCTGCCACGATCTCCTCGCCGAACAGCTGGCGCAGACGCGCGTGCGCCACCGTGCCGGGCTCGTAGGCCTCGTGGCCGAGCCGGTCGCAGTCGACGACGTGCGCACCGAGCGCAGCCAGCCGGCGGCAGACCGAGCTCTTGCCGCTGGCGGCGCCGCCCGTCAGGCCGATCACGTACGGGCCGCCGGCGCGGCGCGATACGCCCAGCCGCGGTCGTCGCACCGCGCCCAGCCGACGCATGCGCAGCGAGCTCGAGCTCAGCTTCGTCTCCTCGTGCTCAGCGCTGTCGGTATCGGCCAGCAGCGGCACCGTGTACACCTGCATGGGCGGCAGGTGACGGCGCCGCCGCTCGGCCGCCACGCGCTCGGCGCCGCCGGCTGTCTCTTCGCTGACCACGAGTAGCTGCAGGCTGGGGTCGTCGGCGGTTGGGCCGAACGGGTCGGTGATGGGCGCCACGCGCGCCGCCACCGTCTCGTCCAGGTCGGCCACCAGGTCGGCAACGCCCTGAACGCGCTCCAGACAGGGCGCGATCAGCTCGCGCAGCGTCTTGCCGGCGTTCATGGCGTCGTCGGTGACGCCGACGGTGAGCTCCTGCGAGCAGTGCAGCAGGCCGGCCGTCAGCAGCAGCTTGTGGCCCGTGTGGATCTGGTCGAACGTGCCGCCTAGCGCCACCTTGCCGAACACGGCGTCGGCCGTGAGAGCGTTGGCCGGCTCCGACTGCGGGCTCAGCCAGCGCCGCGGCTCCTCGTTCACGCCACTGCACAGGCCGGCAGCCTCCTCCTGCACCGGCTCCTGCAACTGCAGCGTCACCGTCTCCAGCTGCGGCGAGCAGTTGGTGACGTGGCGGGCGGCGAAGTCGGGCAGGCCGGCGCACGGCCGCTCCAGCAGCAGCACGTCGACGGGCGCGGCCGTGGCGGCCGTCAGCGCGCGCCGCTTCAGGTGCGTCAGCAGCACGCGCACGTCCAGCTGCGGACACGCGCTCGTCGACTCGGCGTAGAGTCGGCTCACCACGTCCCAGTAGAGGAGCGGCGAGAACGGCGACAGCGCCGCGCCGCGCGACAGCGTCTCCTGGCCCGGCAGCAGCTGCACGTACAGCCGGCCGCTCACGCGCCGCGCCGCGCTGCGCAGCAGCTGGCGCAGCTGCGGCGCCAGCTGACCCAGCGATGACGTCAGCACCAACAGGCCCGTCGCGAACATGACCGCGCTGCAGCAAGGAGCGCTCGTTAATTACCCGGCGGCCCGACGGAAATGACGGCGCTTGGCCTGATTTATCGTGCCCAACACCAAAGAGCCACGCAGGTAATTAACTAACGCTCCTTGCACATGTTTCCTTGGGAGTAGCAAAATCGTCAAATTTAAAGTTTTCAGACAGCACTCTTCCCCTCTCACAGGATGGTTATTTTTGTTTCATTCCTAGGCAGCTCCTTGTTCTTTCATTCCCACTATGAGGTAAGTAATCCTTCTTGTTTTGATCCTTGCTGAAGAACCAAAGGGGTGGAGCCTCTGTGGCATACTTTTAACAAAGTCTGTATTTGCATGCTTGACATCACATCTGTATGTGACACAAAGTCTACCTTGAACTGAAGTGCCAATTATCCAGGTGATATGCTCATATCCTCTGTGGGTGGGATGAAAGGCTTTCAGGGCTCCACTTCCTATGCCCAGATTGTGAACCACTGCAAGCACATTGCAAATGCTCAGTTGTTTCCTTGCTGTTTTTTTTACTCACCAAGTTTCACCCTAAGGCAGCTCCAATCAAGAGGTAGCAACAGGAAGTTGGAGGATTTATAGACATTTCACTTACTGTGAATTGTATGAGACTGATTGCATGTTTCATGGCCTGAAGGCCATTGTGCCTAATGCTTTTATGCCCAATATTGCCTTCTGATACCACTGCATTCATTTCTTTGAGGGATGCAAGGTGGCACAAATGACACAAACTCATAGCTGATACTCAGAACTGAACATGCACAATGCAATCAAAGTATACAAATCAGGGTGCCTGATGGGCATAGGAAGTGAGAGCCTCGCTAATCTACACACCGGTGCAATTCTAGCACTTGTTTCTCATCCCCTGACAATGTTATAAGCCAATTCAATTCACCTACTTTGTTTTTCACATTTCCATATATGGTTTATCTGATACCTAGGTGGCAACACAGGCTGCTTGCTAATGGGCATCTTAGTCTGGTGGATGCAAGATTTGTGCTCTTAGATATCAATATATGACTCCTAATGGGAGCAGCAAGCCTCAAGCTGTTGCACCTTCTGGCTTTATTTTGCCCTGACACAAAGAGGCAAAATAAGCTTTTCCAAAAACTGTTCTTGTTGCAACCTGATCAAGTACAAGATATTTCATTTTACCTAGTCACAATCCTGGAGTACAAAATCTCCTGGTATACATAATACCAGGAAACATTTATTTTTCCAACACTGCTAACCATCCCCTTTTCAGCAACCTGGCAAAATTAGTTGCCAATTGATCTTAAAGGCATATCATAAATATGTTCACAGAAACTAGGTGTGAATCAATATATTTCAACTGCACTGTACATAAATTCAATGCTTTCATCTATGGCTCACTTCCAATGACAATCGTGTCAACCTTGGGCATTAGTTCAAATCAAAGGCTGAATAATGTGTCCAGGGTTGCTGTGACTAGCAACAAGTAGTGTCACATCCATGAAAAATATACATACAAACTGTATACCAAGTGTTACATAACCCTCCTTGACACTTGTTCACCCTATCATGTGTAACTTTGCATGTAAACCAAACAAATAATGCACAGTGCACCATATTAGGCCAGGAAACAGTGATCTGGCCATGTACACCTCTACTTACACAGAAGCTCTGGATAAGTCAAATAAAGCACAAACCATGAAAACTTAAAGATGTGTTAGTGCAAAAATAGATCAGTGATGCAAAGCTTGCTGTGGTATCGCAGCATATATTGTATATGGTCATGTATCAACATATCAACATATATGGTCATACATATGAAGTGCACAGGCATTGATGGCATGTGCACAGCCACCCCTCGATGCCAGTAGATGCAGGTGAATCAAATTACCACGGCCACTAGAAGTTGTGTAAAAAGGACACCACCATCACCGAACCAATGCTGCTTTTAAAGGCTTGCTCGTTATCACGGTTACTACTTTATAAGAAAGCAACTCACTAACCTCGGGTAATTACTCAACAATTGCACATTCATGTGGGCTGTTTCGAGCTTGCGCCGACATTATCGAGGAAACTATCGACGTACCAAAAGGCGATGCCTTACCTTCTTAGACACTAAGGTATGGCTGTGGCTTGCAGCCCAGAAAATGTGACTTGACTTGGGTATGCACCTGGTAACAATAGCGTCCAAAGCCTGCACAACTCCCCCTCCTATCCCCGACTCCAATGTTACGTAAATTAGGACCGTGGCCTCTCTATGGCTAGATAGATCCTGCGGTTCGCCGCTGGTGCGCCACTGTGCACGCGTGCCAAGGCGGAATATAAGGGGAGGGATTAAATATCTGACCGAACCTATTAACATCCCCATGCTGCAAGCGTATGGCACATATCAACACCAAGGCTTCATCATTCGATGCCACTTGGTCAACAACCTTTCCAAAAAAAATACGGTGACCTTGGATCAGGCTAAAAGAAAACAAAAATACTAAAAAGGGAAAAGGGGCTGCGGCCAACTCCATGCCATAAGTCTTTGCCGGCGATTAGCGCAAAACCTTTACCAATTGCTGTGCCGCGGTCAACAACCTATCATCTCCAGAACATGGTGACCGCGGACCAGGTCAAACATCACCAAAAAACGGCCGAAATTATCTGAAATTAGTTTAGAGACAGCCCATGCTCCGATCCTATGGACCCGATCGGTGCGAAGCCTTTACCAGTCGATGTGCCATGGTCGACCAACTGTTCTTTCCAGAACATGGTGACCTTGCTTGCGGTCAAAGGTCATCATAAGCAGCCGAAACCACCTGAAATCAATTTGCAGACAATTCCATACCCGAGCCTTACCTGAGACGGCTTGGCACAAAATCTTTACCAGTCGATGCGCCACGGTCAAAAACCTATTCTTTCCAAACCACAGTGACCTTAGTCCTGGTCAAAGATACCCAAAATGGCGAAACCCACCCGAAATTATCAAAAATGTTTAGGAGTAGAGGTGATTCCGCTCCAAGTAATGATTGCACATCAACTGGCAAAGGTCATGCTGATCAGTGCCGTAGGCTCGGAGCATAAGGTTGTCTGCTGCCTATGTCGGTGGTTTGGGGCGTTTTTGGCGACTTTTGACCAGGCCCAAGGCCACCATGTTCTGAAAAGGATAGGATATCGACTATGGCCGATAGTTTTGTGAATGTTTCATGCCGATCGGCGACATAGCATCGGAACATGGGCTTTCTGCAACCCTGTTTTTCCGGTTTCTGGTACTTGATGATCTTTGACTTGACCCAAAGGTCACCATGTTTCGGATGAGATGGACTTTTGACCAGGCGGCATCCAATGGCAAAGATTTGGTGTCGATCCCTGTCATATTCTCGGAGTATGGGGTCGCCAATAGGTTTGGTCAGCCGTTTAGTCCATACCTGTGATTGGTCGCCCATCGTGTGACTATTATGCGACGTTGACGTGATAACGTGGTGGCATGACAGTTTGGGGCGGTATGTCGGGGAGGTACTGAACTGGGGGTCCGGACTGTTGCTCAACCGTTTTTGCACGAATATCAATGAAGCTGGCATAAGAAGTCTAAACTGTTTCCTCACTTTTCTGACCGTTTACTAAGCATACTTTTTATTGTGTTGTGTGCAAAAGCTTGTCTTGAAAATGTAATGTTTCTGTTGTCACGTGTGTTTTACGGGCAGCACGCTTCGCAGAGTGGCTGTTTTTGGTTCCTCAGACAATTGCTTGCTTCAGTTTGCTTGCTTGGGTATTCCAAGACCATGGTTTCTGAGCACACGATTGGCCATTATGAACTAGCAGGTCAAATGGTATAAGCTAAGCAGTCAACAAAAGTTGTGGGCAGAAAATGCCATGTCAGTTAGCAAGGATTCCACTAGCATGAAGTTACATTTACATCCTGCACACCCAGTTGGATTTAATTTGCAGTGAGATACCCTGCCAATGATCAAATATTAGCTAAGACTCTAGAGGGAGTCCCAGGAACAAATTTACCAAGTTAGGATTGTAGATTCTTTAGAGTCCTGGTTCTTTTTTCATTCTTTATTTTTCAACTAGACCTTTTTCTGGACTTTTGTTAAATGATCTTCTATAAGCTAGAATCTAAATTTTTCATTTCTTGTGAAATGGCTGTGTGAAGGTTTCTGGGAAAGTCTTATTGAGATGTTTATGTCAAAGTTCCTCATGGATCTTAAGAGATGTTGTTGAATCCGTGCTTCTGGATCTTCTAAGATCCTGGGCTCACTTTAATTTTACCAAGTGATCTTTCAGAGTACATTAATAGAGCCTACAAAAGTTTTCATATATGAGTTTGAAAGTCAATACCAAGTGTGGTAAAGTTGTTGAATCCACAAATGCTAACATCAACAAGTAGCACTGTTTAAAAGATTGTGAATACTATGCCTTTTTCTTGCATATTTAAATGTCATTAAAGCTCTCACTGGCACTTAAGTTTTAGCTCAGTAGTAAAATTATGTGAAGTTTAGCTTTGGGCATTGAAAAGCATATTTCTAGTGCTGTTCATCAGGTTTTGGCACACCAAACTGTTATTTCCTTACCTCAGTTTTTAGGTAAGTTAGGATTATATAAGCATAGTGACTCAGATTGGGTTCCTATATTATAAGAAAATAAGCATCTGTTATCATATAAAACAACTGGGTTATTCCACACCA